TACATGAAAATTTTGTATGCTATTGGGGTCATTCTGGCTAAATTGAATCCAGCCAGCAGCAATGTTAGTCCTCCTTAATACTGATATTGAATTGCAAGAATAACAGGAAGCCTATCAGCCATGAAAACTTCACTCATAAGATTGTTTGCGCTGCTGGGCTGTATCATGCAAAATTGTCTTCTCCCTGACTGGTACCAGTTTCCCTGAACACTTATGGCCAGATGTGAGCAGAGAACTCTGACACTGAAAAATGAGGTGTGCTATGGTGAAAGGAAGATAAAAGGCCATGGCAAGAGCTAAACCAAACTGCTACTTATGAGAAGCATGAAGCAGGGAACAGTTTCTGGAGCAGCCTTCAGTTGCACTGGATGAGGTGAGATGTCAATTTGCACTGTGTGAAAAGGATTTGTCCTACAAATGCTGCTGAATAGCACAGAAATAGGAAAGAAGGAGCAAAAGACTGTGACAGGAATTGTTTCTCATACACAGGCATATGCATCAGGAGTTCAGAGTTTGTGAGGCTGGGCTTCGGAGTATCAGGCCTGTCCCTGAGCAGGTATTTAGTCTTGCAGGAGTGGCTCATTCTTTACGAACACAGCTATGCAAGGTGTTAGCTCACTTGCTCAATAGCTACAGCTACATACCCAGGAAGCAGCCAAATCCAGAGTCCCCGTGACCACTTAACCCAAGAAGATTCAAATGCACATCCCCTAGTTCACCAAAATATATGATGATCTCTGAAGGGTTTGCTTGGCTCTCTCTTGACCCCTCCTAGGCCTGAATCCTAGGATTAAACCTCACTGAATCATTACTGAAGTGATATCACAACCTTGCAGGCAGAATCAGGAAGCCAGGTACACTTTCTCTCAGTCAGGCCACTATTAATAAAAAATGAAGGTCTCTCCTAACTTACCTCCTCACCCAGACAGACCTGCATTCCTGGCTATAGAGCAGTCCAGTTCTAACAAAGCAGAGGGAACAGGAGAGTAACCTAAGGGTATTCATTTTTAATCCAAGTCTCTTAACCTTCAGAGAAGTAATGTAACCACTATGAAGCAAGGTAAAATTAATGACATTTACACTAACATAAGTTATCCCTGGATCAAAAAACAAGTTATGTGGGCAGGACCAGAACAGAAGGTTAAGGGCTTGCTACTTCTGCTTGTTTGACAGATTTCTGCCTAGGACTTAGACACATACCTTTTGCTTACAGTGCTTTAAGTGCAATTACAGAGGGTTTTTGGACCTCACCCTTAATTTTTCATAACAGATGCTCTATTTTTAAATGCTATTTTTAAATCACATTAGCCATTTAAATTCACTAGAGAAGAAAAGCACGGTGGCAGAACTTAACATCCACAAGCTAATGGCATAGAAACCATTTCTAACCTGGGCATTCTCAAATACACTGCTCTAGTTCTGGAGCTCTAGCTACACGGCTGAGATCACATAGTCTGACTGTGTGATAGTCCATCCAGCCTGTACACAGCAACATCTCTGCCAGTTTATCAGTCAGCCACAATCAGACACTGGGCAGGTAATTTCATTCAGAATTTACCAACATTGCTTGATGCTTTTGTAAAACAAAAACATTTTGCAGTGAATCTAGGATATTGTTCTGCTAATTACTCCACAGATAAGTATCCCTTTTCTTCTTACCTTTCTATACTCAAGACACATTTAGAAAGAGATGAAATGCAAAATTTCCTTGACTGGGACAGAGAAATAGAAAAAATTACTTTTAGAAGATTTATACTGCAGAGAAAAAAGGAACATACCAATATATAAGCGAAAAAATGGGATCATAGCATGGTTTGGGTTGGAAGAGACCTTAAAGGACACCTAGATCCATCCCCATGGACAGGGACACCTTCCACTTGTCCAGGTTACTCAGAGCCACATCCAGCCTGGCCTAGAACACTTTTGGGGATGGGGAGTCCCCAGCCTCTCTGGGCAACAAATTGTTAAGTTGCTCATTAATTTGATGTATAGTCACAGGACACTGAGTGGGTTTCAGGTCAAAAATAGTCTGGCATTATCATCCAGAAAAGGAGCTATAAAATAAAGAAGGGGAAGAAGTAATCTTTTCCTCCTCCTCACATGTACATTACATCTCTTCCCTTTACCCTCTTGATGCAATAAGCAGAGTCAAATTACATATAGCAAGGAAACCTTATAACATGAAGTAAGAATCTAGCATAGCCAGTTGCTGTACCCTGATGAATTGGAATGACTCCCTGCCACAAGAATGAATCATAAATAAGTCCGTTGAAATCAGCTGTCACTCTCAAGTTATGCCCAAATAAGTTAAAAAATTGGAGACTGCTGATACAGCAAATGCAACATCACTGGTCGTACACATTTTGGCATAAGTGTTTTGGAATTGGAAGATCAAACTATGGATCCTCCTTAAATTGACTCCTGATCAACCTAAATAAGCTGCCTTTAAATGCAACAGGTGATGGACTTCAAACACCAGAAAGGTACCTACTTAGCTTTTAGCAGTTATCCATTAGTTGGCAATCCCAGGCGAAAAGCACTTTCCGTGCAGAGGGAACAATTATTTACTACGGTTTAAAACAAGCCACTCTTGAATAAAGAGTGAATTCCAAAGGACAGGAGCATCACTTTTAATTAAAGAAAATTAAACACTTTTTCCTACTGAGAGACTACAAATGATCTTTATATTTCCTTGTAAATAATATTTTCTTATTAGCTTTTTAATTTAAGTCTGTCCCATCCCTTTCTGTCATGAGCACAGAAAACAATACAATTAGAAAAGAAGTCATTTCTTCAACTTCATCCAAGAGCTTTCCTGGTTAAGCCTTTTTTCCAGATGAAACTATCAAAGATGTTCTCCATATACTAAACTGAAGCAGTATTTTCACTTGGGAATCTGGCAAGCATCTCCTGCAGAATAACATGGGTTTACTCCAGAGAATACCTGCACATGGTCTCCAGAGCACTCCTGGAGTGCTACCCAGTGCTCTAAAGCACTGGCTCTTAATGGAAATGACACATTCACTTTTCTGTCATTCATTTTTGGGGCAAGGGAATCTTGTTTATTCTGGCCTTTGTCAGAATTGGAAAACAAGAACGTGAAGATCTTGTGAATTTTAAAAGTCTGACAGTGAAACTGATAATACACTATTTTGGCATGCAAGAAATGCTGGAATGAAATTTGTTTAACAAGAGACAGGCCCTATGACAGCTTCAAGAAATTCAAAAACATGCCTTACAACCAAGCAGAGAATGGCTGCACATGGAAGGTAGAAGCAGACTAAGATGCTTATTATTTCCTTGCCTTAGACCTAGACATAAACACACTAAGGTATGTAATTGGTAGCAGTGTATAAGCATTTTGTAACACAGCAACAGTTTTAGTAGCATTTTATAACTTAGTATACACAAATAACACACAACTGCAAATGAACAGAGACTTGCAGTATACTTGCCCAAATAGAGCAGAGGAAAGCATAGGCAAATATGCTAATAATTTAAAATCTGCAAGATAAGAACAGAGAATGTAGAGTGGTCAGGAAAGACGTCAGATGAAACTAAAATAAGATTGCAGAACAAAGAGGAGATCTGTCTGATGGAACCAGAACAATCCTGCAAAGCAAATAAGAAAGATGCAACATTAGCAACCTAGCAACACTACTTATTAAACTTATTCCCTCAAAGAATATGGACTACATCATCTGAGATCACCCCGTTTTCTTCCAGGGAGGAAGCAATACATTAACAATTAGAAAAGAAGGATGATATTTTTTGAAAATCACAAGAAACCTCACTTTGATTCCAGCTTCTCTTGCCAAGGAGCTCTCAAGCACTTTACCGGGACTCCTGCAACTGAAACAAACCATCAAGAAGTGTAGTCATCAGTGCGAAATATAGGGCACCAGCTCCAGGGTATTGTATACTCCAGGTTTACTACCACTTACATATGTGATTGTTAAGAACTATTTGGGAAAGAGATAATAACTACTAGTGGTAATTAAGAACTAATGACTGGAAAGGTGCATTGTTGCTGTATACAAGTTTAACGAAGTGCTGTGATTCATCAGTCTTTTAAACAATCCAGCACTAAGAGCTTCAATCTGTGAGGAAACACACAAATGTTTTGGTGCAACACTTTGATAAGTTCTTTCAGCTAATAAAATCAAGTTTCTTCTCACAACATCCAGTTAAGCATATGTTGTGAATGAGTGTGGGGGAATGCACCACCACATGTTCTAAGTCCTTTCCCCTTACACCTTCTCAGAAAGTTCAAAAATACTTGTCACTAAACAATCTCTCCTCAGATTTAAGTGACCTTCATCCTAGCAATCTTCTAAGCAGAGTCTTCTGCTCACACAGAAGATTTTCCCACTCACACAGGAAAGACACAACTGGCTGCATTAGATTTTAGGGCCAGGTCCAATCTTGCAAGTCATTCCAGAGACGGCATGGATGATGCGACTAATTCACTGTTTTGAGATTAAAAATGTTTTACTATGTACAAAAAGATCATTAACATCTCTCAGCTGAGATCTAAGCACCTTATTTAAATGAAGAGTGTCCTCCTATTCCAGCAGGCTCAAGAGCTCTGTGCAGCGAAGTTCTGACAGATAGCCAGCTCTCACTCCGGACAGAGGCAGCAGCAGCAGGGATGTCCCGGCGCTCGGCTCCCCGGGCACGGTGCTCTCGAGAGCGGTTCTGAGGAAAGGCGCTGACAAGCGCCGCTTCCCTGCGGCCTCAACCACCGGGGCCAGGCCGGCGAGACACCTGTGAGCGCCGCACCGTGCTCGGGTGAACGGGCCCTGCCGGCCCACCGCGGCCGAGCCCCGCGGAGAGCCCGGCTGGCGCCGGCGGGCAGCCGGGGCTCCTCAGCGGGCTCGCTCTCGTGCTGTCCCAGCACTGCGAGCGCAGATGGCTTCTACAGCCCTTTTGACTCCGAGGCACTCCATTAACAAGACCCTCCCTCCCCAACCCCAGAGCCCTTTCTAGGTCAGCCTCACCTCTCCTTCCGTCCTCTCCGCGGCACCCCTTTCTTCCCTCCGGCCAGAGACAGCGCCGCTTCCCCGGTCCCAGCGGGCAGCCACTGTCCCGTGCCTCCGCCCCGCTTGTCTGAGGGCAGGGAGACGGCAGCGCCGGCGAGGCCGAGCCCGTCCCGTCGCCCTGGGCCAATGCCGGCGCCCGCCCCTCCTGCCCGGCCCGCCCTCCCGCTCGTGTCACCTGTGGCACCCCCGGGTGTGCCCGGCGGGGCCGTGACCCGGCCCGCGGGCCGGGCGAGCTGCGGGTCGGCTGTCAGCGGGCGCTGCTCTGAGGCAGCAGCTCCACAGCGGACAGTGGCTGCTTCACACGAAGCTCACGCAGGGAGTGTCGGCTTGACTTGACGAGCTGCCTTGAGGGACAATGATCAGTATTTCACTTTACCTGGCGATAGGCAGCCCGAGAAGTGTGAACATACGCCCCTGTTTGAGTAAAGATACGGGCCGCGATAGCAGAGGTTTCAGTCATCTGTTTGTTCAGGAAGCCGCTCTAAGTGCTTTTCTGTTTAATTAGTGGCACAAAATACACATGCCGCCATTTCATGGGGTGTTTCAGCAGGACCTTCCCCTCAGCAGCCAGCCACTACGGCGATTTCTGAAGCCGGAGTGCCCCTGCGAGCAGGGTGAAAGCACCGAGCCCGGCATGGGGAGAGCTGGTGCGCTGGTATTTTCCCCTTACGCACGCCCTTCTCACAATGCTTGATCTAACAGGTTTAATTCTAGTTTGGGGCAGCTGAAGGGTTTCAGCGTCTGGCGTGCCCGGGAGCGGGGCCGCTGTGCCCTGAGGGCGGCCCTGCTGTCACCTGCCCACGGCCGCCGCCCGGAGCGCTGGCTCGGCTCTCGCTCGCAGCAGCTCTAGTACAAATTACACCCCCACTGTGTTCCCACCCTGAGTCCATTCGCTCCCCAAATCCTACACCATCAGCCCTGGCTTCCTGCTAATGTTTCACTTCCTTCTCAAACTTGGATATGGTGAGACAATTTTTAGAGAAAATTTAGTGTTCATAGCATTGGTGTAAAGCCTTGGTCAATTACATGTCTTTTCAATTTCATGCATTTGATACACGGCTCTTCCTTTTTGATGACAAAATAAGGGACTAGAGCATGCTTTTCAAGCACTATGCAGTAAAATTCTGGCTTAATAAGCCTTTAATAAGGCTTACATTCAGCTCACAAGGATCAGAGTGAATTGGAGACCTTGTGAAAGATTAAAAGTCGCTTGCTCCCCTCAATAATTTTCATTCAATCACGTCTCATCTACATATCCTGTTTATTCACCCCAGTGCAGCATACTAAGCTGTATCTATTCAAACCCACATTGAAGTGCTGTTCAGTGCAGACCGAGAAACATCACTTAATGAGAAGTGATGCGAAGCCCTTTTGACACTCTTCGTAGATGGAGCATACTTTTCTCCTGTGTAAAATACCTCTTTCCCCCCTCTCGCAGCAGTCCCGAAGAAAAGGGAAGGTGTGAGTAAAACAGTGGTTCAGGACCAGGCACAGCTGTGGGTGCGCTTGACCCCTGCTGGATGAACTTGGAACTGAGGTCTGGTGTACCCACTGCCCAAAACAATTCCCCCTCTAATTAAGGACTTTGGACCCAAGTTTAGGAGAAAGCAGCTCCTTGCTGCTAAATGACAGGGGTCTCCAGCACTGTGAGAAGTGACTGCTGAGAAACTGCGTATGTGCTGTGCGCTGTGTCTGTTAAAATACATAGGTGAGCTCTCCTGCTCAGATTTAGTGATGTGTTCTTAAAATGGATTCAGATGAAATCTGTGGGATTATGTGTGTAAGGACTGTCTCAGCTCAGACCAGTTGCCAGCTGGTATCTTCATAAAGAAGAAACTGAAAATATCTGAATGACCTTCAGAACATGGAATACCTGAAGAACCCTCAGACTCATTCCTCAGTAATTGCAGATGGAAAAAGTCTGCACCCAGTATCCAGCCCGTCCCCACAGCTACTCTGCAGTGGTTCAGCAGATTTGAAGAATCTACTCATTTTATGTAAGCGCAGAACAGCTGTTTTTCAAGTGAATTGCGCCTGAACACTCTCAAGGTGGCAGCAAGAGAACAAACATTAGTCACAGAAGGGTATGCTCTACCCACCCTCCTCTTTGCATTCCCCAGACACAGTCACAGAGTTGTTAAGTTCTCAGCACAATCAAAAGATTTAAGCATGGTTTTGATTGCAGTGCAACAGAGTGTTATGGCATCTTCAGGAAAAAGACCCAAACCAATGAAGTCTGCAGGTATCTTTGTGTAGTAGTATTGCTGTCAGATTCAGAACGTGGATCACCTTTCTTCCTTCACCCCCTCATTCAGCATGTCTATTTCTCTAGTGATTTCCCAAAGTAAAAAGGAAGTAATGCCATCTTTTTCCAATTATGAAAAATTTAGTGAGTGCCTTGGTGTGGTTACAAAATGACAGGTATTAGTTGAAGAGAGAGTAGCTTCCACTGATGCAAATTGAGCTGATAATGCTTTCCTTCCTCCAGTTTCCTCCTGTCACTCAACTGCCTTTGACACTGAGCTGCTCTCTGAACTAACCCAAATAACAGCTAACTCTGATGTTGTTCATTTAATGGCTGTAGTGACATTTCCCAGGTGCCTTTGACCACATCGTACCTTGCTTTTCAACCTTCAGTTGGTTCCTAGGCATCAAGATAACTTTTTTTCTTCTTTTAAAATCTTCCGTGCTCTTAGGTTATGTCATAAAAGTTCTCTACATGCCCAAAGGAAGGCAGAGCAATAACAGTGAGTGGAGTTGCTTGAGAAATACCCAAGTCCACCACAGGAGCTCTCAGCCCATCCAAGGTCCCTCTCTTCACACATGAAGGAGTGCAGAGTCCTTAAAACTAAGCCTTCAAAAATATTTTAGAATTATTTAAAATTTATTTTAAAATATTACAAGAAAATGTATATCAGAAGCGCAAACTGTAAAAGGAAAGAGTGTGGATAATTTATATTACTCTATACGGTACTCTCTGCGGTAAGAAAAAGACTGGCTTGATAATAATGATCATGAAAAAAATGGCTTCAAAGATCAAATGTGCATGACTAGGGCCTGATCATTTTCCTTCTCTTTTGCTCCCAAACAAAACAAATTTAATCCTGCTGCCAGTGACCAGGGCATCTTTAAATTTATTGTTTTATGTAGCATGGCTACAGATCTCTGCCTGCAGGACTAAAAGCATTTTGTCCTGACTTTAATGAACATGTCTTAATTACAGAGACTGTTTTACTATGTCAAACAGGACTTGTCAAAGGAAAACACAAATTCCCACAGGGATGGCCAAGAATTATGAACAAAGTAACTAAATGTTCATCATAGAGAAAAAGCAGCTATGGAGAGACCTCACTGCAGCCTTCCAGTCCATAGAGGGGGCTTATTAAAAAGAGGGAGAGGGCTTTTTTATATACAGACAGATAGTTATGGGGCAAGGGTGAATGGTTTTAAACTAAGAGAGCCCAGAGAGGTTGTGGATGCCCCATCCCTAAAAGTTTTCAAGGCCAGGATGGATGGGGCCCTGAGCAAATAACTAGTGATATCTCTGCCCATGGCAGGGGGTGAGACGATCTTTTACGTCCCTTCCAACAAGCCTTTCTATGATTGTATGTTGCCCAAGAATGCAGACAGCAGCACTTTAGTGATTGATAATTTATTCCTGTGGTTGAGTACAGCTCCCAGGATTCTGTGGCTCAGGCACTGATATCCTATGAAGGAAGGAAATGACCAGAGCCTATCCAAAATCTATTGCAGACAACTGGCCAGGAGAGAAGTAGAAACAGTTCAGGATCAAACTCCAACCTTCCTTTCCACCTTCTTGAGCCCTGTCCCACACTGGCCATGGCCTTTTGCTCTGATGTGGAGCAAAGGGGTCACATGCCGCCGAGTTCGGCTGTTGTTCCTGCAGTACAGGAGCCACCCAAGGCTCCATCCCAGTGCCTTGGTCTGAGGGAGCTGGCTCCTGAGAGAGCAGCTCTGCGGCGATGGGTGGCCCAGCTCACATTCGGGGTGGGACCGTCCCAGTAGGGAGCTGGGACACGCTCTCTTTCTTGACAACAGCTACAACTTCAGGATTTCAGCCTGGCACTGCATTTGGGCGAAACCCAGCCCGTCCCACCAGCCTTTTTTCCCCGTGCTTCTCGTTTCCCGGGGCAGCAGGCACCGGCGGGCCCTGCGGCTCCCGGCCCCGTCGCGATGGCGACCGGCGGGCGGGGCGCGCGGCAGGGCCCGGCCGTGCCCCGGGGCCCGCGGCAGGGCCGGGGCAGACGCAGCGCGCGGTGCGGGCCGGGTGCCGGGGCGCGGGCACCGTGAGGGGGGACGCGGGTCGGGGTGCGGGCAGGGCCGGGGGAGGTGCCTCGGAGCTCTCCGGCGGTGGCGGGAAGGGGTGGCGGGGGGCTGAGGCACAGGGTGACGGTGCCAGCGCGATTTGGTGCCTGCGGGCAGCGAGGCGCTGGCCTCGGTGAGGGGTGGCCCAGCTTTGTCCACTGAGGGGTCTGATGATGAAGGGGGCTGGGGGAAATACTGTTAGGGATATGTCAGGGGAAGTGTTAGCCAGGGACAGGTTGAGGGCAGAGGGAATTGTTAGCCTGCTTTGGAGATTGGGAAGGGGATGCAGTGGGACTGCACGATGTTGCAGTGTGGCTGAGGTAATAGATTTGCCATATTCTGCACCTGGAACGGGGCAATCCCAGGTGTACCGACAGAATGGGGAGTGAGAGGCTGGACGGGAGCCAGTGGAAAGGGACCTGGGGGTCTTGGTCGGTGGCAAGATGAACATGAGTCAGCAGTGCCCTGGCAGCCAGGAGGGCCAAGTGGGTTCTGGGGGGCATCAGGCACAGCATGGCCGGCCGGGCTAGGGAGGGGATTGTCCTGCTCTGCTCTGACCTGGGGCAGCCTCACCTTGGATATTCTGTGCAGTTTTGTGCTTCACAAGAAAGACATTAATCTCTTAGAGAGCTTCCAAAGGAGGGCCATGAGGATGGTGAAGGTCCTAAGGGGGAGCCATATGGCTGAGGTCATTGTTCTGTTCAGCCAGCAGAACAGGGGACCGAGGGGAGACCTCATCGAAGTCTGCAACTTCCTCGTGAGGGGGGCTGGTACCAATCTCCTCTCTAGTAACCAGTGAGAGGACCCGAGGGGATGGATGGCCTGAAGCTGATTCAAGGCGTGTTTGGACAATGCTGTCAGGCACGTGATGTGATTCTTGGAGTGTCCTGCATGGGGCCAGAAGTTGGACTCAATGATTCTGACAGGTCCCTTCCAAGGCAGTGTATTCTGTGAGTCTATAAATGTTGGGGGACTGAGGGAGTGGAGGCTTCTGGTAGTGCAGCTGCTCGATATATGGAGATCATTATGTGAGTGCAAGTGCTAGTTTGGATGGTGTTAATGGTAATGATTGGGCTCATGAGAGTGGTGAGCTGCTGTACAGGTGGTCTCTGTAAAGAGTGTCTGGAAAGTTACTCTAGTTGGGTTGCAGTGTCAGGAAACTGCCTGCTCCTTCTGAGGCTGCAGTGGCAGTGTAGTTATTGCTTGAGACAGTGCTGGTGCTGATAAAGGGGATCAGTCAAGAGCCTAACAATTTTGTTTGGGAGAACAAATAGATCTTTCCTTCTGTAAATATTGTCCTGTGGGTTTCAAATGTGCAGTCAATCCTCAGTCCCCTTAAATATGTTCCTCTCTCTCATGTGTGAGTATTTTCTATAGTTTGCAAAATCCTTTATTATAGCATGTGTTTTTTTCACCTTTTACAGCTTGGAGGCTTTCTTGTTCCACTCTGCTTGGGAACAATTTCATAAATATATCACTGGGACTCATCTGGGTCTGTAGTTTAAAAAAAAAACACCCTAAGCCTTTTCAAAATACTTCTACTCAAAATTTTCTGGTTTGTATCCAGTTTTAAGCAGGGAATTTGATTATCCATTTAGTGAAAGGGACAGAAACACTTTAAAGAAAACCTTAGGGAGTGCTCTAGTGATCTTCAGTTTATGAAGAAAATCAGTGAAATAAATGCTCAAGAGGAACTGGAAACAGTAGCAGTCCAGTTAATTCTGCACTGAAGAAGTGTGATGGATTCTTTTTTACTCTTAACACGTGTATCCTGCACTTGAGCATTTGGTTTGGAAATTTCAGAGGGGTCTAGGCAGAACAAAGTACCTAACTTCCTGCCTCGGTGAGTTGTTTTTCTTAATTACTTGTTTATTTGGGTTTCTTTTAAACCCTTTTTCTTTATCTCAGGTCTTACAACAGCCATGTCTTTAGGATTTTTGGAAGTTTCATGAAAAAATACTGTACTGAATTGGAAACTGCAAAGGTTGTATATGAAATAAGATAGAAAGTCATTTTGTATACAGAAAGCTGACATGGCCTTGCTTCAGGGTATGGGGAATGTGGTGAGAAGGCACAGGACAGTGTTTGGATTGCAGTGCATCTGTCAATAGTTAGTTTCACTTCATTCCATTGATTTCACTTACTTGCTTATGTGGCTTTTTACTGATTTTTTTTTTTTATTTTTTTTTTTTTTTACTGTTTACTTGTGCTCATTTTAACAGGAAAAAGTATCCAGCTTGCTATTTAGTCGCAGGACAAGTTTTATCAATTTCACCTATTTTTGTAAAATCCAGAATTTAAATTCAGAGAAGCAGTTTAATACAAAATCAGGTTATATACAATGTTACTACTCATCCAGTAATAAAACATTCTATATTATATAAACTATTTTGGTTTGGAAAATTTGATTATGTGACTGCCAAAAGTGAGGAATCTTCCTAAGTGCCCTTTCTTGTGACATTTTTTATTTTGTATGATATATGCTACCAGTTCCATTGCAGAACTATTCACTGTCAGTCGAATTCTGAGGTTGGTAGTTGTGACAGCATGCCCGGGGAATACTGCTGACATGCATATCCCCTCAGAAAGTGCTTTTGTTCCAGCTCTGACAATGAAAACTGGTATCAGAGTTGTGGTGAAAGGGAGATATTCATAGTGCTAGGAGAACAGAAGGGCAGGGAAAGAGAGGCATGTGAACAAGTGGACTTGATAAAACAAGCATGATAAAGAAACAAAGGACTGGAAAAGGAGCGACTTCTGGTTTGATTTGCAAGAATGTAAAAGAAAACCTGTAGCAAGGGATGCAATAAGTAATGGGTGATAGAGACCACTGAATCTACTCAGGTACACGTTACATATATATACATTACATATATATGTATACACACACACACACATATATATATATATATATATATATATGTAGACATGGGCCTGAGTGCTACCTCTGGGCAGGATTGTTGCTGTCAAAAACTCAATTTGTTTTTTTTATTTCAGAACTGTTACAAGCTTGTCACAAGTGACAAACGCCAGTGAACACACAATGTTTTGTAAATTATTCATCTCTATATTTTTTTCCTTCACTTCTAGCACAAGTATTAAAAAATAAAAAAAAAAAACCACCAAAAAAAATAAAATGGAAGAGAGTAAGAAAAAGAAGAAACCAGAAGAGCAAGTTCAAGAGCCTGAATCAGATTTACCTGAAGCCTTACTAGAATATCAGTAGGTTTAATATATTTTAACTTTTTCACTCATATACAATATGTGAATAAAGGAAGCAGATAACAAAGACAGCTTACACAATTTAGAGCCTGAGCTGATTGTTTTGAGGTTTCGAGGCTATTTCAGAAAGGTACACTTTTTAAACTGTAGCTGTAAGAAAGCAATTAAATGGGTCAGAAATTTTATGCCATTAGGCTATAACTTGGGGAAAAAAAATTAAAACCAAAAAATCCTGACATGTTTTCTGTTAGTAGCAAGCTTTTGATCAGCATATGCTGAAGTTTCAAGATCACATTTGACTGTATTTTTTAGGATTCCTTGGTGTTCGCGGAGGTTTGTTGTCACTAGCCAGAACCTCAAGACCTACAGTTTGCTGTCTTCCTTGGTGCAGCTGAGAGCAGAGCACAATTTGTATTTTGAAAGTAAGAGATGGATAAATTAAAGATCTCTTAAAATCAAACAGAGAAAAATAAGAGCCAAGGGGCAAATATTTAAAATAGTTACAAACCTGTCCAACTTACTTGATTTCTAGTCTCTTGAGTAAATGATTAAAAGGAGAAAAAGTAAGCTTCATGGCTTTTATCTAAGAGACAGAAATTGAAAGGGAAATACCTCAGGAACACCCAATATCAGTGTTTAGGGAGTAAGGAGTAGTGCCTTGGTGGGGAAATGAAAAGTGGAGTAAGCAAGCTAAAAAGTATGCTCCTATAGTGGTAGTGACATCTGTATGAGTTCACAGGGTTTATGGGGATTTTTCTGGTTCATTTTACAGAGCACAGAGTACAATTTTCATTAGTGAAATAGCCTAGATTTAGGTGAATCATATCACAAACAAATACCTTCTGAAAAGTCCAAAATTAACTCACCTATTTTGTGAAGGAATAAGGAAACTGTATGACTGGGCTGAGAAAAAACCTGTACCACTTTCTGATAAAATTATTGTTATGCGTATGCTAATATCCAAGCAAATGACTCATTTGTCTGGAGAGTCTTCCACTGAAATAGGTGCTTCACTTAAATGGAATATGTAGTTTCTACAGCAACAGTAGGGGGAAAAGGGAAGAAAAGTATTCTTGCTGTTTTTGTCTTTCTCCCACTCTCTTCTCTGTCCCTCTTGCTCTCCCTTTCTTTCTCTTTACCTCTCTTAATCTGTAACTTCTCTGTACTACTTGACTGATCAAAGGTGGATAATCATACAAGTGGATAGCTGTCACATTCCACTTCAGGATTTATCAAGTGTGTAGTATTTATTTAACTTCCACTCCTGTTTTTTATTTTCATACGCTGAAGAATGGTCACTGTTCCTAGGGAGTTATTTTGCATTTTCATTAAAGTTCTCTGTTTCAGCATGTCTTAGGAACAATGATCTTATGATGTATTTTTGCTGTGGCCATGACCACTGTATCCCTATACCTCTGGTCTAGTCTCTCTCTAACTAATATCCTTCTACTTAATAGAAAACCTGAAAAATACTTGGAGCACACTGACACCAGAGGATGCAAATTTAGTAACCTGCAATTTGCATGATTTAATGATCCAAACTTAGCAAATTAGCCAGGAAATAAATTATCTTCTTTTAAAATAGCTGAAGGCAATAGAGAAGGGGAAAAACTCCCAAAACCACAAAAAAGCACCCTAAACCCCCAAACTAAAAACTGAAGGAAGAAGAACTGCTAAAAGAATAAAAGACTTTGTGATAATTGTAATACTTGCCTCTATTGCCCCATATGATGAATGAATGCTGGTACAGCATAATAGAGTTATATTTTTTGGAGAACAAATTATCTTGTCCTGAAAGTGACCTGTGTAACAGGTCAGCTAAGCCTCATGCAGAATGAACAAACCAGCTCCAGCCTCTCAGGAGGCTGCACAGGAGCAGTACAGCCAGGGAGTCTGCTGCTCTGTAGGGGTATGAAATCCAGACTAACATGCAGGCCCAGGTCTATGTGGGAAATAATTTCTTTTTTGTGTAAGCAGACAGTGGTACTTACCCAAATGAGTCAAGAAATACGATATGAGAATAAACATTTTGGTAGTCTTTATATCTAATCTAGCTTAAAAAGCACTCCTTTCTCTAATGTTTTTGTAAGAATGTCTCTTTCTTTACTCTCTCTTCATAGCATTGCGGCAAAAGAAGCAGCAATTGCATCGGTTTTGTTTCATCTGAAAGGATTGGAAGAAAAGATCAAAGAAAATATTAAAAAGGTAAGTGACTATGCAACGAATTTTATTTGTGGTAGTCTTACTCATAGATTCAGTTTTATTCTATCCATTAGAATACTACATACTTTAAAATTAGTTATTGCAGTGAATTTGTTACAGTCAATGAAACTAGAGTTAGTGAGTCACTTTATGTGCTGAAAGTTAAAGTTATCTGAATTAAATCTGACATATAGCATAAATGTCCTAAATATAACATGATAAAAAGAAGCTGTAGGAGTAGAACGTTGCAGAATAGGACAGAGCAGTAAGGTAAAGTGAGTGCAGTGCAGGTGCTTTCCAACGCACAAGAGATCCTTATAACCACCTACATATTTAATGGAATCACAGAATTGTTAAGGATGGGAAAGACTTCTTAGATAATCAAGTCCAATTGTTTAACCCAGCACCACTGTGTTCGTCACTAAACAAGGTCAACAAGTGCCACATCCACGTGTCTTTTGAACACTTCCAGGGATAGTGATTCCACCACTTTCCTGGGCAACCTGTTCCAATACCTCATCACCGTTTCAGTGAAGAAATTTTCCCTAATATCCAATCTAAACTTGGCACAATTTTTTTTTCCTCTTGCCTTGTTACTTGTTACATGGGAGGAGAGACCAACCTCCACCTGGCTACAAAGTCATTCCAGGTGGTTGTACAGAGATAAGGTGCCACCTGAGCCTCCTTGTCTCCAGACTAAACATCTTCAGCTGCTCCACATCAGACTTGTGCTCTAGTGCTTTTATCAACTTGGTTGCCCTTCTTTGGCATTTTTCTCTGCAGCAACCACAGGACAGCAAGCCTCCTTTCAGTAGGTACTGCAGTACATTCAGATATACCTTTTAACCAGTCCTACAAATTTTCTTGAATATTTCAGTGCATGAAGAATAAATGGTATAAATTTAATTTCTGTCAGTAGTATTAGCAGACCTAACCAAGCACTGAGAATTGCTGAGCTCCTTTGAATCACTTTTGAAGTAATGGAATTGCATGGGTTTCTGTTGCTGCAAACTTAGTTACAATAAAAATTGAATAAAGGAGAAAGACCATCATGTTATTTATTAGCTGTGATTTCTAGCACTGATTGATGAAGGCACACTCATGGATTAAGAATTGTTTTGAGTAGTTTTTTAGAACAAGGTTATGTAACTACTGATCTCACCTGAATGACACTTTAAAGAACCATGCATATGAGCTGTATATAAACAGCCATAATATGGCATCTGATAACTGTGAGCAGTGAACTTTGAAAATAGATATTAGAGAGTCACCTATTGAAATTAATTGAAAATGCTCAAAAAATCCTTACTCTGGATCACATTGCAGCCTGCACTTCATAGCAGTGAAACATTGAAACAACGCCTCTCTGTCCTTCCCATGCTGATGCTTGCCCTGCTTTTATAAGCATCCATCTGTTTAGCTTTCTGTGGTACTTCTTTCAGTCTTGAAGACTGGGTGGTGTTTCATTTGTGGCTTGACTATCACTGGAAGTGACAATTACTCTTCTTTCTGCAGGCATCTGAGGGCTTTTATGATTATTGTTGGGTCTTACGTCTCTTGTGGTTATACTGCTGGATTGGAGGGCAGTTTGACTGCCTTGTTCAGAGACACAGAGCAACAGCATAAGGGAGACCCCTCAGTGGTGTCCCCGGTTTGTCTGAGTGTGTTACTGACAGCTAGTGCCCGTGAAGGGTTCACACTGACCGTTTATGGAATACTGCTCTCTATTAACATAAAGTTGTGACAGATTAAGTTTTGAGGATTTTCAGTGATAGTATCTTTCTGCAAAAACATATTCAAAGCAACACACAGACAAGCTCTAATCCAAAATATTCAGTGCTTACAGAGCATGGTTTCTAACCCAATAGGTGTCCCTATGGGGGAGAAGACAGGTTCAGCCTTACAACTGATTCCAGCAGTTATGATGGACTTCCTAAACTTCTCCCCAATCCTAACTTACTTTTATATTATTTCTTTATGTTTAGGTGGAGCTTGAGTGACTCTAGTCATTCATCTTCTCTGCTCTCCCCTAGCTGACAGGTGATGAGCTGCTTGTCAGTTACAGAGTGCCATTGAGTTCCCCTCCCTGCAAAGATTTCTACACAGCCTAGCCACGGTGTCTCCACTCTGTTCCACCCTCTGTTCCATCCCCCTCAGCAGGGGCTGTGGTTGCAGATTGTAAGGCATCATCATGGAATAGGTTTTGAGCATGCCAACTGCATTCCATTCAGACAGTAGCAGCTGCATTTTACTCTTTAATTTCTATACCACTACAGCTCCTGTTAGGATGTGAATACAACTTCTCAGTTCCTTCTAATTTTACCCCTGGCTATCTTTCTACAGTTATTCCCCCAATTCGCTGCTAGTTCATGGTCTTTCAAGGAGTCCATATTTCAGACTGAGCAGGGTACTTTAAGGCATGGGTGAAGTGCTACTGTTTTAATTTAATCAAGTTTTGACAGTGCTTTGAGCTCCATTCTTTATTTCCTGCTTAATGTTTCTGAACGGTTTAGAGTTAATCCTAGAGGTGAGAAATGCTTGAGACTCTTTCTGCTGCTTATTAACTGTTGCTTACTTACTACTTGTTTGCTCCTGTATGGTGTCCTGTGGGAGCAGACACACACAATCAGTAATTTCAAACGATCTGAGTGTCACTAGAGAGGGTCATGGCCATGGGTTATGATCACAGTTGCGGAATCAGGACATATTACTAATTTCAGCTCTGACAAGACTCTTTGCTGTGGTTATGTGCAAGTGACCTGATTGTCTCATGATTTTTCTATATGAAGATGGTACATTCTCATGAAGAATGAAGCAAATAGCTCCTGCATATAAACATTGTTATTAAATTATCTACAAGCACCTTTCTTTCCAGGCAATGGAGGATTATTGGTGGGCTGTACCAAGTACAGCTGTAATTTGTCTCTCATTTCCTTCCAGTGGTCTTGACGTTACTGAGGAAATATCTGAGCCTTGCAAATTCTCCCTTCTGCTCTAACCTTTCAGAATATGAAGAACAGGTGTTTAGCTGGGTGTTTTTGCATTTCATCTGGCACTAGGCCAGATTTTACTTTTTTTGCTTAAGTTTGTCACTTTGAAAACATTTTCATATCAGTTGTGTCTTCTTTCTTAGAATGTTGTTGTGAAGGAAGAACAGAAGGTGCTTATCAGGCGCTTAGTAAGGCAAATAGAAGAAAAGGAGAAAAAACGAGATGAGAAGGAGGTTGTAACCAGGGATGATGTGGAAGAGTCACTGAAAGCAGTTTTTCAGTTTGTGAAGGACAAAGAACAACTTCTTCAAGGTATGTTGTGCGCTGGGGAAGCGTGCTTTGCAGTTTACACACTTGGGATTGAGTACATGTTGTTGTTTTGCAATTTAAGTAGAGATTCAACTTCTTTGTTGTATAAAAAGTATAAAACTATTCCTCTCCCAAAACTAGGCTCTCTCAGTTTAGTATGAGATTGTGGAGGGATTGTGAATCAATCTGTCCCTTCCAAGTGATGTATAGTATTGTGCAAGTGCAGAGGCTTCCTCTTTTTTGAAACTCATGAAAGTCCTAAGCACTGCCTCTACTGAAGATTAAAAATAAAAATTATTTATGGCAGGAAAAAAGAGCAGTTTTGAGTGGTGAAAATTCTGGCTGCCATCCCTGTGATTCTCTGTGGGAGACACGTGACCTTGGTTGCAACATTTTGGTGAGAACAGTTGTCTGTCTCTTTGGAAGAATAAGACCAAGCTGTTTCCAGCAATGATGGTGGCCCTTGAAACTATGTAAGGCCATCAGAGTGCAATGTACTATAGGGTGGAAGAATCCCCCTTCCTTTTCCATTCCCTGTGAAACACCTTTCTTAAACAAGTTGACAGTGTAAGAATTATCAGTTCAATAAATCAGTAATGAACTTGTCTTTTGACATTCTTATTTTAATAGATCTGCGCTCCCAAATTGAAGAAACTAAGAAAAAAATTGCAGAAAAGCAGCGTGAGAGAGATTATTGGTTGGAGTACAAAAATGTCGGAAGTAAAATACATGCTGAGAGGATTAGCAGTCTGGAAAAAGACATTGCAGATGTCAAATATGAACTTGAAAGAACTGAAGGTCAGTTTACAGCTGGTGTAATGCAAGTCTTACAGGGTCTTTGCATATTGCTTGCAGGAATTAAATGATAAAATTAATTTTAGATTAAGCTGTAGTAACTTGTATCAACTTTTCTGGTAATTTGCATGAATTTTTCTAAGTGCACCTAAGATGGTACCTGTATAATCCTGAAAAATATAAGGACTCCCTTTCTTTATTTTTCTCTCTGTAAAAGTTCCTTTATTGAAAAATTGATAAAGTTTACAGAAATTACGACACTTCAAGAAACTGATAAGCTGGTCCTTTGATGGTTTTCTTGTAAAATACAGGCAACCCATTTAAAAAAAATGTTACTGAGAATGTTACTTTTTTGTAAAAATAAGTCTACACGTATTTAGGTCACCTACACAGAGGGCTCCCTTAGCAGTCATACTTGAAAATGTTGACTCTGCTGCTGTTAGTTCTCATCATCTACAAGCACTTCACATATTGAAAGCTCCTTTGACAGGAAAGTAGTGTGAGCTCATTCTTGGAACAGTCTTTTCTGTGGAGCGCGCTGGTTTGCATGCAGGACTAGAGGGAGCTCTTTAGCCAGCGGTCTGGGCCGTTCCTCCTCGTTGCACAGTGTGAGGCCCTGCAAAATCGCCGGTGCAGACATGGACACGTCCTGAGAACTGTTTCAGCACTGTCACAGCAGTGGAAATGAGAGCTTATATATTGTGGTGCTGAGTGCTTTACAAAGGTTTCTTTATTACTGAATTATTTTAAAATAATTTAAATATTTTTCTGTTACATAACCCATGCTTCCAACAGGAGGATGTCCTGGTTTTCTTCCTTTATGTCCCTCTCAGTATGCGTGACTGCAGCCAAGCAGCTGGTAGTAACAGGCAGTGACACTGCTCTAAGGGTCTCTGTATATTCTGTGCCAGCCATTACCAGGCATCAGCTACTGTGAATAAGAGCCAGCCAGTTATCTTTTTGTCTCTCAAAACATATTTTACCATCATAAGATGTGCTGTGTGATTTCTACATTTCCAGATAGCTTGTCAGATATCTACATCTGTACTCAGGAGAGGTTGGGGTTTTTTCATTACGCATTTTCTATGTTCTTAATTGATTTAGAACTTCACTATATAGCTGCTGAAATATGAAGTGAAAAAGAGAATGGGCTTTTATGCAGAATGCCAGTAGGGACAGACAGTCTGATCTCCTGCATGCCACAGGGTACAGAGTGTCATGGTTTAAGAAAAAGTCATGGTCCAACAGAAGTGTATTTATTGAAAGTCATGTTATGGTGGTACATGTGTAAATGGCCTACATAACATACTAGAAAGTGACACTGACATTTCTGGATGTTCACCATACTAATTTGCTTAACTCCCTAAAACTGAACCTGGGGAGTACAGCCTTCCAGCAGAAATCTGTCAAGCTTTCAGAGCAAGGCAGCAACAAATTTGGCTTGCTCACACCTTGAATGTTTAACAGCCTTAGAGAATAAGCATAGGTGAACAGGTTTCTGTCTGTGTGTACCACTGAAGGGCTTAGAACTGGCACAGTTCATGTTTTCTGGTAGTGACATTTTAAACAAAACAACAGGAGAGGAGTGGAAGCAAAAGAGAGCCACACATTCAGGTGATGTGTGGGGAAAACTGTTGCAGTGAGAAGATTAGAGAAGACAGCCTCTTTAGGAACGGTTCAGACACACAGTTTCTCCTTTTTCATTCTTCAAGTACAGCTCAGGTGATTTAGCTATCTGAAATAATGGAAGAGTGAATTCATTGTAGTATGGAAGTATTTCATTTTCATTCTGAGAAGTCTAGATGGTGGAGTCCAGCTTCCACAGTGTTTAATTAATAATCAATGCACTACTAATACACCTTTCATATTTGACTGCCTTTGACTCCACAGTGCATCCATGAGCAGATATTTGTATACAGCTAGATCAGAAATAGGCTGTCTGCAGCACAAATGCAGTGAAAGACTGAATTTCAACCCTTTGGAACAAGTGTGCTGTGCCTTCCTTCACAGAAAATTACTGCAATCTCATTCACTCCTTCAGAAGGAGGAAATATCAAGCAGAAGTGAGCTATTTAGAAGAGCCAAAACAAAAGAACTAAAGGGAGGAATGAAATAATTAAATAGAGAGTGTCTAGAACATGAAGCCAAACCTATTTAGTTCAATGTAAGACACACTTTCTAAATAATGACCACAAGTAATGATAGAAGCAAATCATTGTGGCAATTGCCACATTCTCCATTTTGTTCTGCTGTCAAATTAGAACCTTAGAGCCTTAGATAAGTCAGAAAATTTATTAGGCATGTTATAATAACTATCTGAAAAAATGTCATGTGGATAAGGCGATCCAATATGCTTCTATGTCAAAAAAAAAAAAAAAATTCTAAGCAAATCTCTCATATGGCGTAACTGTCTGAGAAAATGTCATGTGGATAAGGTGATCCAATATTCTTCAATGTCAAAAAAAAAAAAAAATTCTAAGCAAATCTCTCATATGGCTCCAGGAGCTCTGCTATTGATAGAGACAAAATTTAATGTTAAGATGCCAATATTTTTAGCAGAGAATTGCTTAGATCACTGCTCATTTAGCAGTGAATTGCTCTCTGTTGCAGTTGTGAACAGAAGTGGGTAAGCCACTTCCAATTTCTAGTTGTGTAGATAACACTACTGTTCTTTGGGTTTAGAAGGACAATTTCTTTGGAAAAGGATATTTGAATCCTTTTCTGTGGAGCATCTGTGCAGGCAACACTCACAGATAAGCTGCAGTTTAGTAATGACATGTCAGTTATCTATCTGTTATCGGGAAAAATTGATGGCAAATAATGATTTCTGATTTCCCTGGTTTTTTGCTTTGAAGAATATTACAGAGAAGCTTTGGAAGTTGTGAAAGAAGAAAATCAGAAACTGTTTGACAGGCACATGAAATTACTCAGTGAAGAAGCTCTTAAGGTATTCTTTTTGCTTTTTTAAAAAACTGCTAATTGCGTTATAGTTGGGATACATGTACTCTGCATTATTAATTATTTTAACTTGTATTCAGACTTCAAACTTTTCTAATAAATTGAGAGCAAAATAACCTGGAAATCCTGGTACATATGGATTTGGTTATTGCTATACATACATGTACCTTTTTCTTTACTTTTCACCAGAATAACAATGGGTAGATGTGAGGTCATTTTACAAACAAGGCACGGGAAACTGGGGCACCATGCCCTGACAAGGCTTGTTTGAGAACATGTTGCTTTTGCCGTGGCCTTGATTTTGACATTTACACAGACTTCAATAAGCAGTAACATACAAAGAGATTGCATGATAATATACATCAATTTGAAAAAAAAAAAAAAAAGGTTTAACTGTACTTGTAAAGTACAGTATTTTAAAATGCCATAATAGTGCAGTCTCAGGAAAATGCAGGTTTATTGATTCACTATGATTTTGTCATCTCTGCCAGCTCTGGTTTGAAAACATGGTTTACAAATAGCTCTAGTGGCAACTTCTTAATTTCAATGCAAAGCATACTTCAGTACAAACCACTAGGCCCATTAGGTGTTTAAATTCCCTGACTTCAGTGTTGGAATTTCCAGTCATGTGAGAACACAATCCAGAGGACTGTGTTTATGGTGATCTGCAGGGGCATCTTCCCTCCTACTTCTTCCTTTCCACGTTACTGACATCAGTAATTAAATTGTAGCCTTGGGTCATTAGCACAGACCTCTACATGCTTAGGTCACTTGTTGTAGAGCAGTACTGGGAACATAAAATCCCAATCTCATTTGGGATTTTACTTGGGGTCCTTAATAGTTGAAGGTTTGATTTTCTGAAAGCAGTAAGACTTGAGCAGTACTGGGAACATGGAAGGGAAATGTCCGATTTTAATACGGGAAATCAAAAAATATTGGTAAATTGCTTGACATATAATCTACTCTAGGCAGGATGATAGAGGAGGAACATCTGGCCTTGTGAACTAAATCCCCTTGTAATCCCTCAGGGGATGCTACAGTCTGTTGTGTGGATGTGTCTTAATTATTTCCTGCTAAAGAGCAGACAGTTCTTCTTTATAGTGTGCAGGACTGTCAAAGTGTTGCTCTCTGATGAGATTATCTTAAATTGTGTTTTCTCAGAATGCTGTGGGATACTTAGACAAAGACTGTCGCAGAGAGATTGAAGAGAATGAGTGGCTCAAAGAAGAGGTAAGAGGATCGCTTGCCTGCAGTTTATCATGGCAGTTTATGTTTGAAATACTGTGGCCTATGGTCAGAATTGTTTCCAGTCATGGGCCTCGGGAGACTTCTGTTGGCAAAGGAGAGCAATTTTCCAGTAATTAATCTGTAATCCTGAGCAGAAAGCTGTGCAGTGTTGTGAATAAAGGTAAGAGGTGAACATCTGCTTTCACAAATGGAGGACCCCCTTTCCTGCCCAAGCTGTTACATGAAGGACTACAATGTTCCATACAATTAAGGATTTTTATCTGTGGAGATTGGGATGCTCTAAAGGATCAACCAGGTAAGTAGCTGAAGAGGGAAGGTTTGAATTGCATTAAAGTTCTAGTGCTGCTGTATTGAAAGAAAATGGATATGGATGTTGAAACATGTTCTGAGAAATGGCTTGAGATGACATTAAATAGAGGGTCATAAGAAACCATGGGGACTCTACACTGAAGAGAGAAAATTCAAAATCATATATGGTTGTAATTAATTGCTTGATAGCTTTTATACTGACCGTTAATGACAATTCACAACTATATATTAGATAGCTGTAATTTTCTTGACAAGAAAATATTTTTGTGCCAGATGTAGTAAACTAATTTTTTCTGTAGTGAAAGTTTGATTTTATTTATTCCAGTCAATATAGGTTCTTTGTTTCAATCAAATCTAAGCATGAGATTGGTGGGTGAAATGCCTTTCCTCACTTTTACAGCCTCACAGTTGAGAACTGAGCAAAACTTTTTGGAAAGTTAATAAATGTACTTCTTACTTTTCCATGCCACATCAACAAACCTGGCAGAGGTTCTTCATTTTAGTTACTAATTTAAGGTACTTGCCAGTATGCAGGGACACAGCTTTCCTTCTTCCCCTTAATGAGCTCTGAGCATGCATCTTTAACTTTCCAGGGAGGGTGTCCAAACCACAACTTCTGAAGCAATGAGGGTAGGGGAAAGAAATGGGAAAGAATTAATGTTTTATTCTGTACAAACAAACAGGAGCTCAAATCTACACATCCCATCACTGAATGAGTCTGAATTCTCTTCCCTTCTCCCTGTCTCACTGAACAGTTTTTACACACATTAGCAGTGCCAACAAGAGAGCACTTTGGAATACTCTTATGTCCTGACAGGCCCTCACCTCAGAGCTAAGGGATTTGGATTTCTTTCCTCTCAAGTAGAAGTTTCCTATGTTATGAGTTACTTTCCTATGTTGCTACTTTCCTATGTTATGAATTACTGCTTTGAATTTTGAGGGAAAACAAAACTATTATCACTAACTTCTCCAGTCCTCTGAATTCACCCATTCATTTTCTCTGCTTTTCTTACATGGATGAAATATTTTCTCTCAGACTAATGTTTATATGTAGCTGACAGACTGTTTCAGTATTTACTTCGGGTGTGATAAACCAAAAATTTTAGTTATGTTTGAGTTCTTTTTTTTTTTTTATTTAAGTTTGGCCACTGAACTGAAAAATGACTTACCAAAATAGCTCTAGATTAGTTACCTCCAAAATTAAAACAGATTTGGAGACTTCAGTCACATTTTTCCATGGTTACTGTGTCACACCAAGATGGTGCAAAGCTGCATCACTTCACTGTGCCAAGCCACATCCTATTACTGGTCATTTTCACCTTTTTAATCCTTGGGAGAATTGGAACTAGTTTTAACTGCAAATTTGGATGATTATAGCTGGGTTAATTTGGTTTTGATGAGAATGGATGCTTTCAGATTGCTTGGTACTTCTCTTGAACACGTGCATATGGCTAAGCTTTCTGGGAAGATCTTTCCCATAGTACATTCCCCTCCCCAGTGAAGGGGATAAGAACTTGCTGGTACTTATGCAAAAGTGGGAGGAATTGTGGGAACTGAATAACCAGCATCCTTTGGTCAGTGTATCTCCACAGTGATAAGGGGTAATTACCAGCCTGAAAGCAAATAGTACCTGGGGCTTAGCCAGTGTCACAGAACCACAGAACATCCTGAGCTGGAAGGGCCCCACAAGGATCATTGAGTCCAACTCCTGGTCCTGAAAAGCCCCACTGAGAGCATTGTCCAAACGCTCCTTGAGCTCTGTCAGCCTTGGGGCTGTGACCCACGGGAGCCTGTTCCAGAGCCCCACCACCACCCTCTGAGGGAAGAAATGTTCTGGTAACTTGGACTGAAAACTTCACTAATTCTGGGTAAGAAGGTTTCATGTATAGGAAGGAATTAGGAAAATATCACTTGCTGAGTAAGACTCTGACTTTACCTCTGCAAAGAAGTTTTCCTCTCTCAAAGCTCTGTTGTGAAAGCAAAAAAGAAAAATCCAGAGCTCCTGTCTAGCAGACGTGTTTAACTATACAAGAAGGTTTTGCTGTCAGGGTTGCATAGCCCAGATGTGTGGCTGTGATTGACAGACATGTGCTGTGACAGTAAAAGTGTCCTAATAAAGGTGTGAAAGAACTTTTTTTAATTTTTTTTAATTGTCAAAAGGTTAAGATCTACCGAAAGGAAGAAAGGGATTTGAAAGCTTCTGTCCAGCTCCTGGAAGAAGAAAATACCAGTTTAGTGGCAAAATTGATTGATATCAAACTTCAGCAACTAGGAGTATCAGGGTAAAATAATGCTTTCATGGACTCAAAAGTTTTTTTGTTTGTTTGTTTGGGTTTTTTTGTATGTTTTTGTTTGTTTGTTTTTGTTTTGTTTTTAAGATAATGCTCCTGTCTGCCTCGAGAGCTGTTTGGGCTCTCCCACATCAAAGCCAAGGTAGTTTCCTAGTTGACGAAAGACAGGGTTTGACTGAATATACATGGGAGCAGTATCTGAAGGATGACAATAACATTGTGACTTCTCAAGTACCGAATTTCAGGGAAGAAACTGGGTCCTTAATTAATCTACTAAGACCTAACAGTACTCACTTTATATCACTTAGGCTTGGGAATAATTTCTTTGTGTTGCAATTGATGGTTGCAAAAGATGTTCTCAGCCCCAGCTTTTCAGACTAAGTGCTGAATAATAGATTTTTTCTTTACTGTTTGCAAAATGTTTGAAGATGTGAAGATTAGTTTGTAAATATATAGGGGGGTTTGCAATCTTGAGTGAAACAAATGACCTGACACTGAGAGAGGAAGAGACCTTGGGAAATGTCTGTCTACAGAGGTGTCTGTAGTATTAGCTTCTTTTTTGTTGAAATGATTTAACTTTTTCCCTGGAGAAAGATTAATTTAGCTACAAAATGTCAACACTAATGGTATCAAAAGCACAATGCAACAATGTGAGAGATCCATCTTCAGTTTCCAGTCCCAGCTCAGTCATTTTAGCCATATTGCACAAAGAGTTCAAGTCTTAAGAAGTGACCATTTTTCTCTCCTTTCCAAACTTTGGATTTCTTTGAAGTGAGAGCTGCCAACTGTGGTCTGAATCTTGGACTGACTGGAGACTATAACATTTGTTTTCTTTTAGTCTCATGGACATAGTTGAACTAAGGCACTAAGAATAAAAGAGCAGCTTATTAGCCACTAAGCTACCTGGCTGCCTCCATTGCATTTTTGAACCATTGCGCTGTTCTGCCTTTGTGGTTAAGCAGCAGTGGCTCTCAGAAAGGGTGGCCTCTCCCTCACCCCAAATCATTGCACAGGACAGTTTAGAGAGAAAATTCAGACCCCTATTATGGGTTTCACTTTATATTTTTTACTCCATAGGCATTTGTTTCATACAAAGGGAGCTGGCTTGCAAGAACTTCCTAAGGATGAAATGAAAAGGGGAAAAAGAGAATATACAGGTAATGCAAATGTCAGCAGCTTATAAGAAATGCTAAGTAACTTAGTGAACATTTACAGACTTTTTATTTCTGAAACTTTTTATTCAAACTACCTGTTTGACATGAAGAACACTTTATTTCCCTCTTGATTGCAGCCACCACAGCCGTGATAGATTGTAATTTGCATAAGGAGACAAAATCACAGTCTATCTGTAATACAGTTTTTAAATTTAAATTGGTTTTAGATTGTGGAATATGATTACTCATCTAGAGCTAACCTGGAATACAGTTTACAGGATTGGCCATCTTTTATGAAGATATGATTCATATCTTAATCAGTTCTTTACTGATCCATTTAACTTCTATAACTTCATTATAGCTTGTCCCTGAGAGGACACTCTTTCACTTTAAGTGTACAGGCACTTTGCAGTCATTCATCAATACACCAGAGTTAAATTACAACTAAATCCCTAGCAAGAGCAGATGAAGCTACATGGAGCTCAACCTGAACTGAAAATTTTGGTAAGCAGTACTGAATTTTGGGCTGAATCTCCATCCCTTCTGGTAGGTGTGGCTAGGGAAAGGATATACCATTAGGCAAGAAGGAGCATGAGCCTGTGCTTATCTGTTTAGGAGAGTCTCTGTGGATTCCTAAGTATCACAAACTTTTATATCTTTTTGCGAGTAGAAGAAAGAAAGAGGATGGAAAAAAGTAGAAGATGATTCTAACATATTTCTTTAATACAAAATTAAAGAGATATGTTATAAAAATGGAAGTCATACAGTTATAGATACATGAAGTAGTTTGTTGAAGTTCTGATCAGTCCCAGCCATAGGTGGGCCTTTTGAAATCATCAGGCACCAGCAAACATGTTGCCAAAGACTTCTGCATTAAATACATGTTTACTTCCAACACCTTTGCTAGACTTTTGCAATAGTTACGTGGCGGAGAAGGCTTTGTTCCAATAAACTGTGTCACAGTCACAGGCAAACCTGTAACTTGGCAGTCCATGTCCAAAATCCTCTATCATCCTGAGAATGAGTCAACTACAGGTGTGACCTCTTTAGGGGAGTTGTAAGTAAACTGTGTTTCAGGAACTTGTAGTTATGTTCCTATAGATACACAAACATGGGTATAGAAGAAGAAATTTGTACTTTGCTTTGCTGCCTTTCTTATTCTTTTTAACTATTCAGGGCTCTACAGGATTTAAGTTGAACTGATAAAAGCTCCTTTTATCCCTGTCCCCTCCTACAGATCCATTAGTTCTAACTTGCAATCAATTTTAGTCCTTGGGTCTTGATCCAAAATTGTGAACAAAAAACACATAAAAAACCCCATTGTAAATGAACATTTGGCTTGAATTGTCAATTAAAAATGCTACCAAGCTGTTCTTTTCATCGCAGGGGCTAAGCCATATTAAAGATTGCAGGCAATGCTCCTATCAGGTACTGATTCTGACTTCCATAAGGCTTAACTATTACATACACTTCCTTTTTCTTCTCTTTATAAAGCAAAGACAGATGGAAAGAGCCTCAGAAGTGCCTTTCCAAAGATTCGGTCTAAAACAGATTACAAAAAGCCTCCAGACAGTGATGAAAAATCACGGAAAAAATTCTTCACTCCAGCCCTGGACAGCTTGTTGTATGAAGATGAAGAAGAGTTCGAGGTATGAGTCAGAGTTATCAGGTCTTCCATGACACAAACATCTTTCAGTATGGAGCATGAGACTGTCAGGACCCTTCTATTTCCAGTGGTGTTATGGCATCCAATGTCCTTTACCTGCTGGGCAATTCAGATGGACTGTAGTCTTCTGGTGCTGTTTGGGACAGTTAGGTCCATGTCCTTCAAATGCTGGGCCAAAAGAGCACAGGTTCTGTGTCCTACGGACCAGCCTCACGTGGATGTTTTGGATGCCTTCAGGCACCTCTGATACCATGAGGCATGTGTTTTGGCAATGGAATGGTGTCCTAGGAATCATCCCATGGAGTGCCAGGGTGAAATTCCCCTAGAAAGAATTCTGAATGTCACCTAATGAGAGATTACTTGGCTTGGATGGCAATGAACAGGTCCTTTAGAATCTGTGTTGCAGAGTAGCATTAAAGGGTCAGTATTCCCTCAACAGAAAGCCAGGATGAAGGTGTTCCTGGGTGCAAACGATGGGGTTGAGGAAACAGTGCACATTGGCCTTTCCTGTAGCTGATGGGCTCTAGCCCACCAGAAAAGCTTTCCTTTTCTTTCTCCTCCTGAATTACTTTCTGTTGGGTTGGTCAACAGAGTAGACTCAGAGGTTTGGAGAAGACCAGAGCCAGTGCAGATGTGGCAGAAGCACATGTCTGGGCTTGGACCTCTCTCTTTTTGGAAGGAGCGAGCTTTTGCATTAGTTTAATTCTTCTCACAGAACTGAATTTGAGATTAGAATTTGGTTTATAGAGAAGGTGATGCTGGTGAAAACACAGAGAAGAAGTGGGCAGCAGGGCTGTAGCCTCCTAAAATGAGTTGGCTTGCAAAAGAAGCCCATTGTTACTGACAATATCAAACACAGCCCCAGAGCAGCATCTCTACAGTTGCTTTAAAAATAAAAGTTCCTGGTTTTGGTGGTGGTGGTTTTGTTTGTTGTTTTTTTTTTTTTTTTTTTTTTTTTTTTTTTTTTTTTTTTTTTTTTTTTTTTTTTTTTTTTTTTTTTTTTTTGAAGAATGGTTGCTTTTCTATGAAATTGCAAAGGGACCATATTCTTTCTTCTTAAGGCATACTCAAAACTGGGACCTCTGAAGAGAAAGCTGCTCGTGGTTGGAAAAGCTGTGCCTGCTTGTAAGGATCCAGAAGAAATGCCAAGCAGGAGCTACAGAGAAAAGGACACTGTTGGTAAATCAGATGGGCATATCACAGCTAAGATGATCAAGGCCTTATTTAAGGAAAATGTTGATGAAAACTAGACAAGCTGTGCTGTTTGCACAGAAATGTAACATTCTCAGTTCATTAAATATTTGCTCTCTTCTGTGTGGCATGGGGCTTTGAGGAAACTATTTTAGAGTGCCTGAATCATGATTATAAGTTTCATGAGAGGTATGTCTGTGTGCAGAGGCTAATTGAAAGGTTCCTTTCCTTACCACTGAGAGACGTCTTGTGCACTCTTTGAGGTATTCAGTCCACATAGCAGCACATTTATCTACTAAAAGATCTGAGCTAATATTTAGTTTGTGTGGTCTCTACTTGCAGATGTGGAATTTCCTCTTGATCAGACAGTGAATGGGTAAATGCAGGCTGCCATAAAACACAGAACTATTACAAAACACATAATGCTCTGCTAAGGCAGAATTAATTTTTGCAAGCATAATTCAACTATTGCTATAAATTGAGTGTCTGAATGCTTTTTTATCTGTCTCCACAAGATCCCTACTTAAATACATTGAAATGTATTTAATACATTGAATACAATGAAACAAAAATTAATTTAAAACCAATTTAAAACCAGCATAAAAAATCACTAAGGTCTTAAATATTTTGTTTGTTTAGAATTGGCCAAATATATTGTGTAAGCCCCATATCCTTGGTTTGTGGCTGGCCTGTTTGAACATCTATCTTAGTGCATTGATGCAGTGGGGGGCTCCCTCTGGACACTCTCTCAGCAGCACACAACAGGTCCTTCCCACATGTAGGCTCTGACCCATGCATTTCCTCATTAGAAACTTGCGACAGCATTGAATAATCAATTTAAACCCTCGACAAGATAATCAGCTGTTTGGAATAAAGGTTTTTAAAAAAACTTACTTTTTAAACAACCTGTATCTCTGTGCAGTATCTCAGTGTAACTGTACTTCAGTGCTTTTGGTTTTCCAAGCACGCTGAGCTGTCCCTGCCCAGCAGGTGTCTCCTTGGGCTGCAGGTGAGTCCCACTGGTCTCTGGGCTCCACTGACCAAGCTCCTCCGAGGCTGGGATCACAAGGAGACAGGTAAAGGTGGCAGACTCCAGGTAAAGGCAGACCTCACCTCACACTGACTCACTTCTCTGCCACGTGGTGAACAGTAAAGTGAGTTTGGATGTGCCCCTGCTGTAACCCAGTAGAGTGACTGTGAAGGCTGAGGCGATTCCCGCCCCTTGTGTGTCCATGGAATGGGGATCTGTACTTGGGCTGTGTGTGCAGCCCAAGAGACGCCTCCCCTCCGCTCCCCTGCCTTGCTTTGAGTGCAGTGCAAGCCCCATGAAATGGCAGACTTGAAAGAGAGATTAGTTCTGCTCAGTGATTAGTTTAGCTTCTCCTTTAGATGCAGAATTACAATGTGGCTTATGCTGAATGGCTTTTCTGTTAAAGGCAGGCCTCTCCTTCTTCCCACCACTCCCCAGAGCGGATTTACATTTTCTAATGGTGTAAATGTATGGCACATCTACAGGCTTCTCTTGGCTTATGCCCATAATGCATAATACTATGTGCAGGACATTGGCAGGACAACATCAACCTGCACCTTGGAAAAAAGAACCCTTGCCTCCCCCAGTCAGTTTAGCCTTTTCCCATAACAGCCTGTGTGGGTGAGAGGGAGTTAAAAAGAAAACCCAAACATGCTAATTAGGGTACAAGCCACAGGCAGCCTGCACAAGCCAGAAGCAACAGCCTTCAGCAAAACATATTTAGTGAAGTGTCCCAAATCCCCTTGATTTCTACAGGATTAGCATTAAGGCCACTGCGGGGCTTTCATATGGAGAAAGCTGGGTCTTCAGCCCAAGGCATCTGGACTTGATAAATTTGTTACCAGCAAAATCTCTGAGAAATGAGCAGCATGTTCTAAAACAAGGGGCTGATCAGTCACCTTCTGGCAGCACAGCCAGTGCTTCCAAGCCCCACTTGGAGTTCACTACTCCAGTTAGGACCAAACTTATGGGAGTCACCCTTGTATACCCAGCATTATGAAATATTTTTTCTTTACTGTGTTAGTGTTGCACAAGACAACTCTAGGATGCAAGCAAGGGTCCTGGTGTCTCCACAATTACAATCCAATCTAAGCTTCAGCTGAGCTGGAGTTATGTGTTTAACTAGAACAAAGCTCAAAGAAACTTGCCATTTCAACAGGAAGAAAAAAACCAAGTATTCCTTGGAATTCAAAGTTAAAGAAATACAAACATCAGTCCAGTTGCATGGAAATAAAAACTATTTTAATAGAAGTGAGGTCCATGAGCTGGAAGTGAGAAACATCAATCCATGGAATGTCTAAAAAGCACAATGGGGAGAGGTGTGCTGAGAGCCTGTATTCACTCCAGTGATGAAAGGAGCTGCTTACCTCAGCACTCTGCTGGCTTGAACCCTCTCTGAGACAGTGGCTTCTCCTGCTTTATAGTCTGGCTATGCTGGTATGATCTCCCCAGCCAGAGCTGCAGGGAATGTGGGTGATTTCACTTTTGGTCTGGTTTTTACGAGGTTTGCAGCCTCTGCTGCAGCGAGGTTATATAACAAGGCAATCTTTCCACAGGTTCAGACCTGCACGTTTTGGGAAAGGAGGGTTAAGAGACTCGCTCTGCAGCATTTGTTCTTGTTTGGCTGCTTTCTGAGTGAGAAGTTATTAAACACTGCTTCTGTGGGCTAAAAGGAGTTTGCCAGAATAAGGTCAAGGCAGAAGGTAATGGACTGAAAAGTTACACTATAGTGACAAGAACAGAGAATCTCTTCGTGTTAGCATCTTTAGCCACCAATGTTTTGCAGCTGGATGTTCCTCCACAAAAAGGCTTTTCCTTGGATTTTGAGTTAACTCTGAAAGTAAGGATGTGTTTTGCAATACTACATTTCAGAGCTCATGTTCTGCAGTCTCCCACAAACACCATATTGTTTTAGGACATGACATGGCAACAAGATGCCAACAACTGTTCCCATATGTTGGCAACTGAATGTTGAGCCATGCTGAAAACTAGAATTTAACATGGTGCTGGATCTTGCTCGCTTAGTGATTAAAGTAAAACAAGAAGCTAAAATTCTATCAAATACTGCTTTTCTAAAAAGTACTTGGGCAATTGCTGTAGCTGGCACAGGGAAGTTCAGCAGTTACTGCCAAGAACAAAACAGAGATCCATGCTATGAAAATAAACCCAAGACCCCAGTGCTCCTTGTGTACTGCAGCTGCCGGATATCTAAAGTACTATGCTTGCATCCAACACTTTCTCTGTACCCATTCTCTGTATCACCTCACACAGAAATTTAAGCAAGTTAGCTCTTTGTTCCAAGGCTTTTTGATCTTTGCTTCAGGAAATTTCATCATCAGAGAAGCAAGAAAATAATTAAATGTGTTTTACTCAATTCTAGACTGATCTGTTATCTTGGGGAGGCTATCTCACATCCTATTACTCAGCCTTCTGGTACAAAAAGGTGCTGAGTAGGTGGCAGCAATGTTACACCTTCAGGGAACCTGCCCTGGGTTTTCTCCTCCTCACTCCTTCTCCTGATCCAGCCAGGATGCAGCTGAACAATCAGCTAAGTCCCTTTGCTCTCCAGTTTGAGCTTGGAAAACAGCAGCATCTCACAGATGCTTGTTGGGCAAACTCAGTGGAAGATGTCAAGCCTGTTTCTGCTCTCTCCACTGTTGTGTGAGAGCTCCAAAGGTCAAGTCAAGAGATTGACAACAGGCCAGGGAGCAAGCTCTTGCTCAGTTTACATATGCTGCCATTAGCACTGCTCTTCTGTCTGTATTCAGCACATTTTTTCACTGCCCCTCACATTATCTTGTCAATCTTCTGTTCCCATCAGCATTTACTGTCGTTGCCAGTGTTTTAGCACTTAATTCTCATTTCTCTGCCACAATTTTTATCTCAATTATGCCATGGCCTTTAAGTTGCAATTCATTTATGTTGCTACAAAATTTGTGTCAGGCTCTGGAAATGGGCACTTTTTGTCTAATGAAAGATGCAGGGTTTCACCCTGTCCCTTTTTCTTGCCGAAGGGCTGTTTGGCAGCTGGGAACTTCTGTGACTTATTCTGGCAGTTGGCTGAATGGAACCTCTGATGCCAAAAAGTCACGCAAAGACAGACTTCAAACATGTCCTGAGGTACCAGCTCTGTTTGGTTTGTGACTTTGAAACAAAGAAGAGAAGCAGCAAAGGAACTTAGATCTGTCTTCATATGAAGACTCCACATTTGTGCTGTTGGAAAACTCAGTTAGGTGCTGTTCAAGTTCTTGTTCTGGCAAAAGCAATTGTCTCAAGAGGTAAATCCAGTTGTTTTCATTATATAATTCCCTGATCTAGAAAAAATAAAAATATCGTGGTTATTCTGACACGCCAGTTCCCTACACAAAGCTTCAAGAGGAACCACATCCCTCTAACAAAGCACTCCATCGTCCTCTGCTAAGGGCAGGCAGCTTCTCTACACAGTTTGCTCCTGTAGATTAAACAGCTTTTCAACTCAATTCTGAAGAGAGCCAGGTTTTCACTACCCCCTATTATGGAAAAGTGCCAGTAATTAAAAAATAAAATACATCTGTGTGCTGGGCTTTTTAAATTAAGCTAAACTGAGTGTTATTTTGGTGATACTGAAAGCAAACACTTACAAACAAAGCAAATGAGAAAACACTACTCAGGAAAATTCTCAAGGCAGTTTGTCTCCAAAGAGTAAACCAAAGAGCTTTTAGCAAAGCCTTCAGCAAGAATGCCTAATCTGCACAGCAGCTGTTTCAAGGAACACAAAGCAACAATGAGCAAGCAGTACAGGGTAACAGGAGCTCAGCATCCCTGCAGAAGACATGGGTTTGGGTGTTCACAATTCTTTGGTGTTTTCATGATTTGCAGCCTCAAGTCCACAGCCACACAAAGAGTCCAAGGGATCAAAGAGATCTAGGAACACATCTATCCTCAGCCAAAAGGCTCAAGTTAGACTCTGCAGAGAGCACCAGAGACCTAAGAAGGTTAGCATCTGCTTTATCATAACCCAGCTCATCAGGCTCGGGAGGAGGATGAAGGTCTACCTTCTTCCTTCACACAAGGTCTGAACAATCTGTAACCTGGTAGTTACCGAGGTCATAACAGGTCACAGACGTGCACCTTTTTTCCAGCTGGCCCCCAACTCAAACAACTAAACTTTTTTATATTCTGACCACAAGCAAACTGACCCACAGTGAAAGTCCCAGTGGTAGGATGACAAAATTTTAGTAAACGTGTATGAAACTCCCCAGATCTGGGTGTGTGCATTACATACTCTGTAATAGGTTCAGAGGTTTTTTAATTTATGCTTTGAGAAAGAAATTTTAAATCTACTGACCTGTACTGCTCAGTTTATGATACCCTGGCCTCCAGGACAAGCCTCAGGTC